GTAGCTCACTCAGCTCCCATTGCTGCTCATGGAGATGAAAGACATGATGAAGAATACGTAAGTAGAGAATAATAAACTGATTCTTCGCTTTTTTTTTTCAATGAAATATATTTTTGGGATTGAAGAAGTATTGAGAGATTGAACGACAGATGGCTTCTTTAATTTATTTTGTTGAAGAAGCCTTCCTCTCACAGTTTCGAAAATTGCATATTTGACTATCGATTTTTTTGTGTTGTTGAGAAAAACAGAACAAATTTTAGAAAAAAAGAAATCAATGAAGATCGAAAACTTTTTTCGCGGCCAAGATTTTCAGTGTTACGATCTTCGTTCGGGTTTTGAAGGCCGTAGTGGTTTGGAACTGCATCCAGAACATGTGGCTAACACAAGTGGCTAGCCATGAAACTAAAGACTTCTACAAGTCAAAATAATGAGGAAACTCAAACGGTTGTACTTGCGTTTCTACCGTACATCCCTAGGGTTACAGATAGAATCGGATATTCTATCTGTAATCCTAGGTTACAAAATATGTTACGTAGTTGGGGCTACTTTGAATGCCCAGGCTAGTCAGTAGAGAACGGTGTGAGTTCTTTGAACAACTTTGCTAGTTTCTGATTTTTAATGTGTCAAGCAAGTGAAAATGTGAATGTTAAAAATTAATACATATATTTACAGAAAAAAATACAAAGATTGACCCTGTTAGTATGATGGTATCACCTGTTTACGCCATCATGTCTCCTAGCAGAGATGTTGTTAAAGGTTATTGTTCCCTAGTTGAGTTCAGTTGATCATTGTGGGACTGAACACTTCTTTGGGATATAAATATTTTGCACTTCACCTGAATATAATTATGATAACAGGTGATGTGAATGTAAAATGGTTTCACATAAATATTCATTCATTGATACATCAAATAATATTCACAACAATTATTCTTAGTTATTCTACTCTTGTATTGATGCATCAATGGTTTATATATAAAAAAAACCCAAAAAGAACCCATATAACGAGCTCTACCTTATCAACTAGGAAAATACAGCAAAGCCTGAGATCTGCGGGAGACAACAGAGATCCACTATCAGCTGCGGAGGTATACCATGCACCTGCGGGAAAGTTTATATCGGTACCACCAAAAGATCCATGGGTACAAGGCTAAATGAACATCGGAAAAACTGTAGATTAGGTCAAATAGAAAAATCGGCAGTAGCGGAACACGCGTTTAGTGAAGGAGATCATACCATATTGTTTGAAGATGTGAAACTACTTGCACCCGATCATAGATACCACAGTCGACTTGTACGGAAAGCCATAGAAATCCATAAATATACAGAAAACTACAACAGAAAAGAGAAGGCGACAACGCTTAACCGGATTTGGAATCCCATACTGAAAGATGTTAAGGGGACAGCAGTGCAACGCAATGTAACAGGTAATAATACTTCAGCCAATAACAACGCACCAACTAAAAAGGCGGGCTACCTGTGTCAACATAAACACAGCTTACGAACAAGAAATCACGAGTCATCGGTGTGCCATCAGGATGAATAGACATCTGAAGATACCAGCCACTGGCGAAACGTTAGGACACAGTTCCAAACCACGACGGCCTTCGAACCCGAACGAAGATAGTAACGTTCTAATCATACCCTGATCGATACGCAGAAAGAGCTCATCGTCCCAGAGCTCGGATCGAACCAATAGTCACAATAGCAGTTATTTCATGATTTTAATCATGAATATATATAACTTAAATCAGTTTTAAGGTCACATGGATATATTTTTCAAATATCGATTGGACATTGCGATTAAATGTTAGTTTTAACAAAGTCATGATGGAATAATCCCAATGAATAATTATTTCTAACTGTCCAAAATATTGAGAAGTTATGGAAACACACCTACGATTCCAACTATAACCATAAGGATATCCTTTTGGAATAATAATGTATTAATAATAAGATAATGAATTTGGAATTTTGCTTTTCAGGCTCCAGCAAAATACGACTTCGCTTACGGAGTAGAGGACCACCACACTGGAGACATCCACTCCCACAAAGAATCCAGGGATGGTGACATCACTCACGGAGAGTACTCGCTTCATGATGCTGATGGTACCATCAGAACCGTCAAATACACTGTCGAGAAACACAGTGGATTCAACGCTGTTGTTGAAAGATCTGGTCATTCCAAACAACAAGTTTCGAATGATATTCCGCAGTACAATCATCACTGATAATTTTAGTTTTCATGAATTCCTGATTGTTACCCATTTCTCACACATTGTTCATGTTATTGTTATCAAATATATTTTTCCAATAAATTTTTGATTTGTTTTAGTAATTGTGGTCTTAAAGTTTCCGGTTCACCATATTGGGCTATCAAATTACATTCAAATATCTCCTAATTGCATGACTATAACATAGCAAGTCAAAATAAATTGATGGAAAATGAAAGTTACGTCTTTTTCCGAAAGTGTCAAACATTTTGCACGGCAATTACTTTCTAGGATGATAAATCTTCCATTGAACGAATGGTTTCACATGAAGTAACACTGCGGAATAAACGTATATCAAATTAACAATATCCAATAATCAATTTTTTTCTGAAATAAATGTCGAAGTAAAGTTATAAATGTAAATGATTATTCGAATGATTCTTCTGAACAGAATAAAAACAACATCAAATTAAATACAAAAAAGATTCTTATAGCAATGTATGAATGAATAAATACAGATGACGGGTGGTCGAAGGGGAACAAACAAGGAAACATGGAAAACAAGGTATTTTTTTGTACCTTGTTTGACTTCTCCATTTAGTTCAAGTCTCCAGAAAACACTTGCAGCCTCTTGGGCTTATTGCGTTTATTTTCCCATCTTTTCATGACACCCATTCCATCAGTCTCGTTCCCTGTACTAATTTGTACAGGTTCCGTGTTGGATGTTCGTCATATTCTTCTGGGCGTAATTTTGTACGTCCAGATATTGCCTGCCTCCTGTGATTCACTGCCTCACATTCGCATAAGATGTGTTTGAAGGTGATCGACAATGTTTCGTGATGAATTTCACTAGTTCGGACTTCCATTGTCTATTATATAAAATGATTTGAAATCCCTGAAACAAGTAAAAAAGAATAATTAAAAAAGAATAGTTGAAAATAACAATTATATTAAGCAACAATAAACCTGAAATGAAATGATAGTAAAATAACCTACAAGTAAAAATATAATAATTGAATAAATAAAAATT